CCAACTATCAACCGTTATTGTTCTAGGCACTGGGTCTAAGCAGGGGTGGAGAATGTCTGGCCCACGGGCCATATAAGGCCTGCAAAATCATTTGGTCTGGCCCTGCCAAGGCATTAGGGATGAGTTAATTAACTGTTTGACCAAATACAGCAGGCTAATTTTTAAGTTGATAATTTTGTATGGCCCTCGAAAATGTTATATATAACCAAATGGCCGTTGGCAGAAAAAAAAGGTTCCCCGAATCTGGTCTACAGCAATGAAGAAGATAAAGTGTCTGCCTTACTGATATGCAAATATCTGCACTGGCATGAAGTATTAGGTGATGTGAAATAAATGAGGAATGATGGAAAGCGTTGTGTTAGTTTAGGCAACATTTTAGCAGAGACCTGAATACAGTGAGATGATCAACTATATATATATATATATATTTGGGAGTAGAGTATTCCAGGTAGGGAAGATCTTGCAATGGAAAAGCCTAAGTGTCAAGAACAGATAACACGATCTGGTTATATTTTAAAAGCTCACTGTGACTGTTAGAGGGAAAATTGGCTGTAGGGGAGCAAAATGCTAAAGAGAGTGACCAGGTATGAAATTATTGCATTTGTCCAATTGAGAAGACCATTGGTGAGTTGGTGAAAGGTAGTAAGAGTAGAAATGGTAAGAAGTGAGTATATTTTGTGTTGGAACCATACGATTTGCTGAAGGATTAATTATGAGATATGAAGGAAAAATACAATAGAAGAATTCTTAGAGTTTTAGGCTTGTGTAACCAGAAAAGTTAAAATTACGTACAATAAGAGGGGAAAGCCCTAACTGGTTTGGCTCAGTGGATAGAGCGTCGGCCTGCGGACTCAATGAGGGTCCCAGGTTCGATTCCAGTCAAGGGCATGTACCTCGGCTACGGGCAAATCCTCAGTAGGGGGCGTGCAGGAGGCAGCTGATCGATGTTTTCCTCTCATTGATGTTTCTAACTCTCTATCCCTCTCCCTTCCTCTCTGTAAAAAATCAATAAAATATTTAAAAAAAATAAGATGGGAAAGTCTATAGTAAAAGTGGGCTTGAGAAGAAAATCCAAGAATTATACAACTATCAAGGAGGTGGTTGGATATATGAATCTGTAGCCCAAGTTAAAACTGGAAGTAGAAATTTGGAAGTTGTTAGCCTACAGATGATATTTAAAGCAGTTAACCCGCATTATGAATTTTCTAAATTCTTAAATACATTAAATATGGTGTGTAATATGTTCCTATTCAGTCATCATCAAATATTTATAAAGTTTTGGCTGTAAGCCAGGAACTGTAGTGTAAGGTTCTGAGAATGCAATAGTGATATTGGACATTCAAAGTATAAATATAGAGGATTAGATAATTTCTAGGTGTATATTAAATGGAAGTTCAAACATATAGTCATAAGTTATATCACCGAGCTTAATACTATATATCATTTGATTCCTTCATATTAATTTAGTCTTAACTTGATCTTTTCAGTTCTTTGAAAGCAGGAGCTATATTATACTTTAAAAAATACATATATTTTTTATTGATTTCAGAGAGGAAGGAAGAGGGAGAGAGATAGAAACATCATTAATGAGAGAGAGTCACTGATTGGCTGCCTCCTGCACACCCCTTATGGGGGATTGAGCCCACAATCAGGGCATGAGCCCTTGACTAGAATCGAACTTGGGACCTTTCGGTCTGCAGGCTGACGCTCTACCCACTGCGCCAAACCAGCTTGAGCGATATATTTTTTTATACTTTTAAAAAATCACATGTAATGCCTACCACAATTTTAGAAAGACATTAAGTACCCAAACAATATTTATTCATTGATTACACAATAATTAAAATTATCCAAGGACAGTAGTTTTTTTATCAGCGTGAATTTTATTGTTTCAATTTGCAGCCTGAATCTACTGCGACTGAAAGAGCAATTGCCCGATTAGCAATGCACCCTCTTCTGAAGAAAAAAATAGATATGCTTAAAGGTATGAATTAAAGCCCTGTACTTATTAATGCATTTGTGCATATTATTTTGAAAAATGGCTGTTGATTTATTTGTGTTTTTGGTTCATTTGCCTTTCATGGACCTTTTCTGTTATAAATATCTCTTTCAAATATTTCCATATGTATGGGTAGAGGCTTGAAAATATGGAAAGTATCTGATACCTAAACAATTATCTAACTATCAAGAAGGTGGTCTGTAGCCCACATTAATTCATATTTTTTTCTAAATTCTAATATTTGAATATATGTAATATATATTCATGATTATATTGAATACAATTGATTTTCTAATTATTGATGTAATTCATATTATTTTTGATGTGTCTACTACTTAGCCATATGATTTTCATTTATGTGCATGTGTATTATAAAATGTATTGAAAGAATTAAATGCTTTTGTCACAGATTGGAAGATATTTTTTTATGTCTGAAAGCCAATTCATAATGCTCTACAATTATATCAGTGCATTATTCCTATAGAAATTAAAGTTATCATTTTATTTATTTGCATTCAGTAAAGTTTTTACTGTTCTTCAAGACTCCAAGGCATAAAATGATGGGTTTTTCTCATTTTATGTTTTAAATGGTTACTCCTGAGCTTTCTTACTCGAAGTTTGGTTTTTAGAAAGTCAGTAGCTTTCTTTATAAATTCGGACTGTTCGTTATATATATATACTCATGCATCACTTAACAACAGGAATAACATTCCGAGAAATGCATCATTAGGCGATTTCATAATTATGCAAACTCCATTCAGGGTACTTACACAATTAGATGGTATGGCCTCCTACACACCTAGACTCCATTATAATGTCATGTATGGCGTCCATTGTTGATGGAAATGTCATTATGTGGGGCGTGATTGTATTTAATGTAATGTATAAATTAGCCCAAGTGTTCCTAAATAATATAAGGAATATTATACTAAACATTGATATTTTGTGTTGTTTCAGTGTTGAAACAAGTTGTGTGCTATTTTTCTTGCAGCTGCCGTCAAAGCCTTCAAAGATGCAAGACAGAATGATGCTGAAGTTAAGTTATCAAGGAATGCTTCAGAAAAAAATCATTCCAAGGACACTTCATGTTCAAATGATAATGCCATTAAGTTGCAGCATGAAGGTGCTGTTATCAGTGAGCAAAGTGATGGAGAGGAATCACATGAAGAAGAGCAGGAGTATTTTGATGATAGCACAGAAGAAAGGTTTTACAAACAGTCTTCCATGTCCGAGGACAGTGATAGTGGAGATGACTTCTTTATTGGGAAAGTCAGACGGACACGAAAGAAGGAAAGTAATTGTCCTTCTTCAGTTTTGGAACAAAAATCTCCCAAAAAAGTGTTCCCTGAAGAAGATATACTTGAAACCCGTGAGAGTATAAGAAATGTCAGAAACAAGCCAAGTACAGAAGCAAGGAAGTTTGAATCAGTGTTTTTCCATTCTTTATCTGGATCTAAAAGCTCTAGAAGGTAATTATATTTTTGTATTCTGAAATAATTATTAGTTTTTAATTTTTAAAAATATTACATATTTATATATCCTAATAGTGAAAGAAGAGACTACCTCCCCTCCACAATTCTAGTTTATTCAAACTACATCCTGTGACTTGGCTCTCTCCCACTTTATATTAGGATAATATATACAAAAACACAAATGTCAATGACACATTTATATCCAGCTTCATAAGAAAATGAGATGTTATAGCCAAATAATTTTTCTAGCTAATTTAAGTTTATCCCTTCAATTACCAAAGTTTTGAAACTTTGAATTAGCTTTTGATAAATAACTTTTAAAAATGTCTCACATAGTTCACTCTTTAAACAAAACTTAATGAATAAAAATATGGTGGTTTTTGTTGTTGTTTTGTTTCGGTTAACCTATGGCCATTATTATAACCATCCATCATTTTATTATGTATTTCTATTTCAGTACAGCTGCTTGCACTAACACCAGAGTTTTTCCAGAATGCTTTTTTATGTTTGTTGAGGCTGCTGTCTCTGTCTCTGCTATTAAATACCACTTTTCACAGCTGTTCTGTTTTAAAATAAGTTTATTTTCATTTGTAATTTTAATCAGGTAGGGGTATCTTTAGACATGGTAAGCTTATTTCTTCATTATTAGCTATTTTCTTCAGTGAACTGTTTTTCTATATATTTAGAGGTCAGGGATCATTTTAATACAATAGAAAACTGTTATTGAAAGAAGTTTAAGAGTATGGAAGCTGTAGCCGGTTTGGCTCAGAGGATAGTACCTACTTGACACCATACATAGCATTCCCTCTGCTATACTTTATATGTCTGTGACTGCTTTATAACCACCAATATGGACTTTTTAATCCCTTCATTTTTTTCATCCAGTCCCCCAAACCTGTCCCCTCTGGCAGTCATCAGTCTGTTCTCTATATCTCTGTGTTTGTTCTTTAGATTCACATGTAAGTGAAATCATATGGTATTTATCTTTCTCTGACTGTTAAATCAGAAGATTTACTTATCTTTTAAAAATCCTAATGATGTTTTTCTTCTTTTAGAAATTACAGAGAACAGGCACCAAAAAGTAACACCCCAGGTATGTTATTAATGGCTGGGTAACCTCCATATACAATAAAGCAATGCTTTGTCAAAGTGGAAGGATGAAAAATTCTCATTGTTCAATAGCCTCAATGAATTATGTACCCACAGAAATGGAACTAGAGCATCTTATAATTACCATCTTATAATTAATTTAAGTTGTTGTATTTCCCTATGTCCTGCCATTGGGAAAGATATAGACAAAACTTATTAGGAAATTGGGTGTATTTAATTTATCTTGAACTAAATTAATGCATTCTTTAATTATTATATGAGCTATATCTTAGTCAACACTGTGCTGTTAAACATTCAGTAACAAGTATGTTACTTTCCGGATTGAGAGTAAAATCAAAGTTTTTGGTGTGTTTTTTCTTTTTTAATCCTCACCTGAGGACATACTTAGAGAGAGGAAAGGGAGAGAGAGAGAGAGAGAAACTTTGATCTGTTGCCTTCTGTATATGTCCCAACTGGAGACCTAACCCACAACCCAGGTGTGGGCTCTGACCAGGAATCACACCAGCAAACTTTTAGTGTACAGCACGACACTCAACCAGCTGAGCCACTCTGGCCAACTCAAAGTGTTTTAAATTAATTTATAACAAATCAAGTTTAATATATTTGGGTCGGCTGACTTCTATGCATATTCCAAACTCTCACTGATTTAAAAACAATAAAAATTTGTTTCTCACTCACATCACAGTCCAGCATGAATCAGCAGAGAGGCTATGTTTCACATAGTCATTCAAGGATAAAGTTTCATTTGGATTCTTCCTCTTGCAGTTCCCAGATATTCTCCATTTGGCCAACAGAAGGGAATAAAGTACATGGAAAATTTTGCAGAAGGTTATCATGGGCCAGGCCTGAAGTGGCAGAAATCAGTTCTGTTATCATTTCATTAGCCAAAATTCATTTATATGACCCCATATCTAGCCACATGGGAGTTAAGAAATGCAGACTGACTCTGTGGCTAGATAAAATAAATAAAGTGGAATTTCTTGAACAGATAATCACGTAATCACCATCCTTTTGATCACCAGATGCCCTTTTTTTTCCTCCCACACGTAGAGCACACTGACCTCCTTCCCAACAAAGCCAACCCAAAGGCTCATCCAGCTCAGCCCAGGATTATTCAGTGATGCTGTGGTGCAGCAGCATCCACAGAACAGTCATGGATGTGGCTGCTCTGAGTTTAGTGACCTGTACATTAAAAAAACAAACTGGCCCTGGCCCTGGCCACTGGCTCACTTGGTTGAATGTTGTCCAGTGTACCAAGGGTTCACTGGTTGGATTCCCAGTCAAGGCAAATGCCTAGGTTTCAGGCTCTGTCCCCAGTAGGGGGTATGCAGTAGGCAGCCGATTGATCTTGCACTCTCACATTAATGTTTCTTTTTTTCTCTCTCTTCCTCTCCCTCCCTCCCTCTAAATATAAATAAAAATATTTTTTAATAAAACATAAAAATTTGGCACTAGCTTAGCAGTTCATTGATAGATGGTAGGAAAATAGATATCTGAGACTGAAAATGAGCATTTGTATGCTAAAGATAGATAAAATGGTTAGCAATGAAAACTTAGGAAGCAGGCTTCATGTTTTTGGAGTTTGGGGGGTAAGTGATTAGAAACTATAAAAGATAAGTATACTGATGGCCCTTTGGCAATATACCACAAAAAATAAAGGAGAGACAATAGAAGCTTCCATTGGCTGTAACTCAAGTTACATGGCCTCAGTTAACTGTTGTGTGACGGGAAATACATTATGGTTGTGCACCTAGAAGGAAAAGAAGACCAAGTTTGGCAAACACAAGGCCATCTGCCTCATTTACCTTATTTTCACAAACATAGGATAACTAAACTAAAGCCACACCCATTTTTTCCCTGAGGAGACCCATGTGAAAGAGATTCTTTTTGTTTATTTTTGCTTAACTTTTTAATTCATAATACTTACCAATTTACTCACATGTGCAAATTTACTTTGCCTAATTATAAAAAATATTAGTTTAGAAATACTGTCTCATTCAAATCTGTTATCATGAAACAGTTCCACTTAACATTTAAACTTCATTCTTCATCACTAGAGCCACTCTGAGTATTATAAATTTCTGGAGCACATGGTGATTTGTATAAAATATGAATGTGTACATGATATTTTGGAAACTCTATGCAATTATTTATAAAACACCAGAGACCCGTTGCATGGATTTGTGCACCCCTGGGGTCCCTTGGCCTGGCCTGCGGGGATCAGGCCGAAACCCGCTCTCCGACGTTCCCCAAGGGGTCTTGGATTGCAAGAGGGCACAGGGCAGGCCGAGGGACCCCATCAGTGCAGGATCGGGGCTGGGGAGGGACTGCAGGAGGGCTCCAGGGCATGTCCAGCCCATCTCGCCCAGTCTGGATCAGCCAGACCCCAGCAGCAAGCTAAACTGCCGGTCAGAGTGTCTGTCTCCTGGTGGTCAGTGTGCATCATAGTTAATAGTTGAATGGTGGCTTAGGCTTTTATATATGTAGATTATCCCATTTGCTTTTAAAGGAGATCTTTAAAAGGCTTTTGATAGTGATGTCTAAATTGAAGTGGAGAAATTATGCATCCTCTGTTAAACTTAATACATCTATATTAAACTTTTT